TGCCTAAGAGGACATACATTACCAAGGAGGAAAAATCCTTGCCTGGACACAAGCCTATGAAAGATAGGTTTACGCTTGTGCTGTGTGGAAATGCGAGTGGCGATTTGAAAATTAAACCCTTGCTAGTGTATCATTCTGAAAATCCAAGGGTTTTCAAACAGTATAATGTGCAGAAAACCCATTTGTGTGTGATGTGGAAGTCTAATAAAAAAGCATGGGTGACTAGGCTTATTTTTTCGGAGTGGGTGAATGAAGTGCTGTGCCCTGCCATAGAAAAATATCTGCAGGAGAAACAATTGCCACTCAAAGCCGTGCTTCTCCTTGACAATGCTCCTGCTCATCCTCCAGGCTTGGAAGATGATTTGTTGCCTAGATACAATAAATTCCTCACAGTTAAATTCCTTCCTCCTAACACCACTCCTCTAATTCAGCATATGGACCAGAAAATCATAGCGAATTTTAAGAAACTTTATGAAAGGGCACTTTTCCGGAAATGTTTTGAAGTGACTGAAGCCACAAACCTCACCCTCAAAGAGTTCTGGAGAGAGCATTTTAACATTTGTAGTGCTTTAAAACTCGTTGACAAAGCCTGGCAAGAAGTGACTCAAAGAACCCTGATCTCTGGCTGGAGAAAATTGTGGCCTGAAGGTGTGAGAGAACTAGACTTTGAGGGGTTTGAGCCTATAAATGATGCGCCTATTGTTGAGGAAATTGTTAGTCTAGGCCAGCAAATGGGCTTGGAATTGGATGGTGATGATGTGGAGGAGTTGGTGGAAGAACACAACGAAGAACTGACCACCGAAGAACTCCTAGCCCTTCAACAGGAACAGCAAGCCAACGCAGCAGCGAATGATTCTGCAGTGGAGGAGGAGGTGGCAGCAACACCAGTGAATGTCCCTTCTGCAGTAATTAAGAAGGTGTGTCAGATGTGGGAAGAGATTCAAACAACTATTGAACAGACTCACCCAGAGAAAGCTGTAGTAGGCCGTTGTCTTAATCTTTTCAATGACAATGTGATGCCTTACTACAAAGACAGCTTGCGAAGAAGGTAAAAGCAAGCTTCCATGGACAGATTTGTGGTGAGGAAATCGAGCAGTGAGCCTCAACCAGGACCTAGTGGCACTCAGGTAAAACGTCCCAGGGAGAGCACACCAGAAAGGTCCTCACTGCCTGATGTGATTATGGAAGGGGACTCCCCTTCCAAACAGTAACTCCTCTCCTCCTCCCCCCTCCTCACCATCTTCCATACGCCTACAGCACTCGACAGCAAGGTAAGTAATAACTGGAACATAGTTTTGTAGGTTTATTTAGATGAATTAGGTAAATTAGGTATAAAAATTTAGTTTGATGTGGGGTTTTTGGGGTAGTCAGGAACGGATTAATTCATTTCCCTTTATTTCTTATGGGGAAATTAACTTCGGAATGCGAGTTTTCGGAATGCGAGGCGTCTCCAGGAACGGATTAAACTCGTATTCTGAGGTATGCCTGTATAAGAAATAGCAGAGGTCCTAAGATGCCGCCTTGTGGCACTACAACGGTTATTGGTAGAGTGGAAGAGGTTGTATCATTGATGGTTACACATTGGTGTCTGTCACTAAGATAGGATCGCATGTAGTCAAGGGCAAGGCCTCGGATTCCATAATGCTGGAGTTTAAATAAGAGGTAGTTGTGATTAACAGTATCAAAGGCTTTTCTTAGGTCAATGAAGAGTCCAATCGGAAACTCATTTTTGTCAAGGGTTGAGTAGATTACGTCAAGGAGACTAATGATTGCATCATTGGTGCTCTTTTGGGATCGGAAGCCAAACTGGCAGGGGCTGAGTATGTTGAATTTTATGAGGTAGGAATAGAGCTGTTTGTAGATAATTTTTTCAAATAATTTTGATAGAATAGGTAGATTTGATATTGGTCTATAATTGTTTGTCTGCCGGATTGCCTCCTTTATGGACTGGTGTTACTCTTGCTTTTTTAAGGATATCAAGGAAGGTGTGACACTCTATAGATTTGTTGAACAGTAGAGCTATGGGTGGGGCAAGGGCATGGGTGGCACTCTTGTATACAGTGGACGGAATTTCCTTGGTGTTCCCTGCCTTCTGTGCTTCCTGGGGCCTTCCTTGTTCATTTGGGTTAATGGTTGCAAGGGGGGTCCTGGCCCCGTTTTTTGTAGTCTTATCTGGGTCACTCTTTCCTTGCACGTCTTGCAGTACCTGGCTTAGCCCTTCCATATACATTGGATTCTCTGTAAGGTACTTACCTAGTTGTCCTTAACTAGTTGTGTTTGCGGGACTTGTTCTGGTTTTTTGGTCCTGCTTCTCACCTGTCATTCGCTCACGTGCAGGTTCCTGGACCTGCTGGGCTCTATCGTATCTTTGCTTGAAGCTGTGTGTTGTGGGGACCTCCACCAAATCGCTTCTTCATGCGTTCCGCTTGTCTTCTACTCTGACGCTGCAATACTTCATTCCCCATGTCTCTTTGGCTCGTTTGAGCTCTCATTCCACCAGTGTCCCCTGGTGCATGTGCCCCTGGGGTCCCGTAGTCGGTCTTTCTCTACCTTATCCCTTCCTTTGGGAATCTTAAATGTAGTGTTCATCTTCTTGCGGCTCATACTCCTTGGTTTGGGTACTGGTCTGGTGGCGTACCTTTGCACCTTTTTCCGTATTCTCATTTTATCCTACACATGGTTGTGTGTTTTCTTTGTGCCTTTTGACTCTCCTCTTGCTAGGTACGGGTTCCATCTCATCCTTTGCCGGCTTGGGTTTCCGGCTCTGCTGGCTCCGTGGTCGCACCCGAGATCTTCCCGCGGCTCCGCTCTTCCTAGGCTCGATTGGCACATGGCGGGGCCGGTTCAGTTCTGCCTTGAGTCTTTCACCTTCTGTTGATGGTCGGGTGGCTTCGTTGATGGTGTCCCACCTGCATGCTTCTTCTTGGCGGCAGTGTGGGGTTTTTGGCGGTCCTTCGTTTTCCTTCTTCCCTTCTTCGGTAGCTGCGTTTGTTGGTGTGGTCTTGTCCTTCTCTTGTGGAGGTTTGGGGCCCGTCCTCTTGCCCCATACTGTCGCCTCACATCGTGCGGCGCTGGCAGAGCCGCTTCTGTTTGTTTTCATTATTGATGTACTTCTGTGCCGTTTCGCAAGCTGTTTCGTGCATTGTTTCACCTCCGGCCTGCTCTTGCGCCACCTGAGCCATCCTGGTCATTGACCAGAGTATTCTTTTCTTCTCCTTGGTTTGTTGTGGCCCCCGTCGGTTCAGGATTGGTCTCAAAGGCTCCTTTTCTGTTGGCATTGACCTCCGGGGGTCGGGTTGGGGGATTCATGCTCTCTTCCGGCGCAGGGGTTTCTGCTCTTTTGATCTTCGTGTTGGTTTTGTTCATCTGGAGCCGTTTCCTTCTTTTCTGGCGAAGAATGAGACTGCTGCTTTCCGGAGGGGTCCCTGGGTTGTTGATGCTTGGTTGGTTAGGCCGGGGATGCATCATTTTTGTGTCCGGTGGCAGCTCTTCGCCGTTTTTGCGCGCCACGGGTTCTGTGTCCGGGGACGTGGTATGAGTTGATCCGGTTTCCCTTCTTCCCTGTTCGCAGGTGCAGTTCTCCCAGATTGTCCACGGAGTTCTTCAGGCTAGCCAGCCTGCAGTCTATCCCCGTGCCCATAATGTTCGTAAGTTCACTGCTCTTGCTGCTGTCTTTTGTACCATGTCCTGGGCTGACATTCGGGCGCAGGGCTTTTGACGGTTGAACAGGGTCCTGGCTGCTCGTTGCCTCGTGCACGTCCTGGTGCCTCATCGGGCCTGTGTCGTTTTGGGTCGGCGGTTGCAGCCAGTTGTCTCGACTTCGTGTTGTGGAGTGAGCAACGACTGCCTCCCAGGTAAGTCCCAAAGTGTTTCCTCTGTGTATGGTTAGCTCTGGGGAGCCAAAGGGGCTCCCCCCAGAAAACCAGCGTTGAATGTAATGAAACCCCATTTACTGGGTGAGACCTGGAGGTTCCCCGGCATCCATCCCTTCCCCCCGGTTGGCATTTTTTTTGTGTATTTTGACATCCAGCCTCAGAACTAACAGGTGGATAGCCGGTGTGAGGGGTCTGGGGTTCCCCCTTCCCCCTCCCGGGGAGGGAGGAGCTGCCCAGACAGCGGCGCGGGCAACGTGTGATGTCATGATCGTTTGCTCATTCTTTTAGGGGAGTTCAGATAGATACAAGTAGATATACTTGTTCGGCTTTTGGTAGCAATATTTTCACCAGAATAGGGGATTGTTTAGGGATGCTTACTTTTCTGGGTGCCTGACCCGGTCGATGGCAGACATACAGTAGAATGCTTCCAACCACACGGAGGTTTCTATAGGCCATTGCTCCCCCTGCCTCTTCTGGCGAGGCAGAAGGTTCTGGCTCGTGGTCTCCGCTAGGCCCATAGAACTCTATACACATGACAGATGCCAAAGTCTGACATTCGCATATCAGCCTAGTAAGCTGTGGGGAGCTTCCAGGTCTCACCCAGAAAATGGCATTTTATTACATTCAACGCTGTTTTTTTTTGTACATATAAGGAAATTAATTTCTAGTTATGAGTACGGTATGTAGATATAATTTTAAATAGAAACCATTAAAATTAATTTGATGTACTTTATATCAAAGTGTACTTTACACTTTTGATGAACCATAAAATGGAAGGTGATGGAAACATAAAAAAATTTTCATTGAGAATAATGAGTATTAGTTGAAACAGAAGCAGAGGATGGATGGGTTCTTGTTGAATTTTATTGAAATAAGGATTTAATTTAAGTGTGTTTGCATATTATTTTTGTCAAGTTATGTGGGGTCCTTCGTAATACAGTGCACTCTTATGCTAAAAAGAGAAAGATAAAACAATGAGAATGTTTTAGAATGGCAATAGGGCAGACCTGCAATACATGGCAAAAACATTGATATTAGTACAGTAGAAGGTGAGGTAAATGCTATTTTAGTATTGTGCGAATATAAAAATATGTTAGTTTGACAATTATCACAATTGAATTTCAGATTGGTCGTCGTGGGGGAGCAGGTCCAGTACCAGGCCTTGGTAATATACCAAGCATGGGTGTGAGTGTTCCAGGAATGCCAGGAGCTGGATCGCCAGGGTCCTCTGGCTTTACCTTTACACAGGATCAACATATGCGCATTATCCTGGGCACTCGATCTCCTGAGCCGCGCCCTCGTCGCAACGGTATAGTGACAAATCCAAGCCTTAAGGCTGCGCATGCCAAGGCTGCTCACCTTTTAAGGAATGGTCTAAGTGGCCGCCCAAGACCACCACCAGCCAGACCAAACGGTCTCCCGCTCAAGAAAGAAACTCCACTATGACCGTATGTATCTTAAATTATATTTTTTACATGATAGAATAAGATGTTACAAATATAATAATGAAAAATATAATTTCCATTTATTTGTGTAGGTCACATGCAGGATACAGTTGTGGAGTGTGGGTGAGCACCACATTCAGTGCAACCAAAAAGGCACCTCTCCTCACTTTCTAAATTATTTTGAGTGGGTCATTAGTATTTGAAAAATGAAGGTTTGCTGTAATCATTTTCATGGGTTCTTCTACAGATACACTACAGTATTACTGATGGCCTAATTTTGAACAAGAATAACATCAGTTTACCTATTTAGAGATACAACTTGAAAAATCAAAGCTAAAAAAAACTTGATTCCAAAAAGTACAAAATGGTGATTGGTGATTCATTCATCTTTGGCTCACTATTTTTTTTCTGTAGAAAGCCTGTGTAGTCTTTCGATATTTTTAGGGATTTTTATCCTCATGCTTTAGGGGTGTCCCATGCTGGAAGATTTCTTTCTATAAGATCTAGTGTGAGATGGCTTCATCCTTCAGTGAATGGTGCCTTGGCATGGTGAGGGGGGGGGGGCCTCTTGTGTGATGCCCGTGGGTAGGAAGGGTGGCTCCCGCTCCCCCCTCTCCTGCCTGCTGTGATGGTGCACAAGCTAAATATGTCCCCATTTGTTGGGTGTTTATGGAGATCTGTGCACGCCCTTATACTTACCTAGTTGTGCTTGCAGGGGTTGATCTCTGGCTCCTTAGTCCCGCCTCTCAACTGTCAACTAATGTACAGGTTCCTGAGCCTACTGGGCTCTATCATATCTACACTTGAAGCTGTGTATGGAGTCAGCCTCCACCACATCACTTCCTAATGCAGTCCATTCTAATGCTTATGTCCTTTCATCTGGGAGCTTATCCTACTCTGGGGTTGCGGCTCCTGGGTGGGGCAACATGCATCTTTGATGAGGGGTTGGGGGAAAAATGGGAGGTACTGTGTGGTCCACCTGACTCAATCAGCTCATCTGGTTAGCCCTACCTCGTTAGACATTGGGTCAAGTGGGTATTATAGGGATTTTATCCCGATTGATCCCTGGGATGCTGTTCGGCCCTGCAATGGTGACCCACATATATTATTCTGGTTCCTCTTGAGGTTGCTTGCTCTTGTGCTAGTGCTTTCCATGTGGGCACTGTCAAGGTTCACCCCCTTCCTACCTATGGTTGGGGTCGTCCCATGGGTCTTCGCCCCTCAGTACCAGACGCCACTGCTCGCCCTGGGGCACCCCCAGTCAACTAAGGGCTGGCCTTATATATACCCCTAGCGAGTGGAGAGGTTCAAGTCTACCTGTGACACACCTGAATCTGCCCGTCTTGACACTGGGACCCCCTCTCTTTTATATCTGGTCGCCAGCTGGGTGTTTATACTTGTGTCCCAGCAACACGTCAGTGGTCTCATTAGTTATCTTAATTTAAGGATGCAATCTCATGTGCAATGCAAGGTGACGCCAACGGTTTCACTCAAGATAGCCCTAGAGAATGGAAGCTCACTCAAACACATAGGTAAGATTAAAAATTTACTGAAGAAAAATATATAAACTTGTATATGGAAATAATCAGGTAGAAATTTCCGATGGCGGCAAGCTTCTCTCGTCGCGTCTCTGGCAACACGGTCAGCTGACTGGGTCCAACTGTCAGACCGGCGGGGGGACACCTCGCGCCTCTGGCAACACTATCAGCTGGATGATTCAAAATTCGTTTCTGGCTTCTTGAGAACCAGCTACTATTCCCAGATACACTAACGTCACCGCATCTACGTACTTATGTTCCACCACCAATTTACGCCTACATGAGCTCCTTGGCTCCTAGCCTAACAGTATCACATAGACAATAAATGGTAACATTTGGGGTAACAATAAATGGTAATGAGGTTGGTAGTTGGTGAGGGAGGGGAAGAACACGTGAGCACGAGCTCTGTGAAAAACAATATATATCTCGGGATATTTCAGTGATACAGGAACTAAACACAGTCAGATATCTCATAAAGTGTGTCTCAACTTATTAAACAATATACCATAATGATTGACATCCGACTTGTGTGCTTTAAGGAAATAACAAGTGAATTTCGTGTGGAGTTCACCTAGTGGTGCCAGAACCCACCCCATAGACCCACGTCCCATGTGCCCACCGTGTGTGTGTGCTTACTAGCAAATTGGTTTCCAACAAGTGTAATAGGGGAATATGGATCGAGAAATTTGTAATAGAGAAAGTGAATACTATTGCAAGTCGCAAATAAAGCAGAAAATCCTTTATTGTAATACAGGCGAATTAATATATCAGTGTTATAATTCAAGTAACTGGCAACTGACGGCCTCCAGCCGTGGCCTGGAACAACAACGTGTCAACTGTACAGCCTCTGGGAGCCTCACCCTCGACCGTGCGATAAGTACTGACCATACAGTAGAACAAATAAACATATATATTATTACAAATATACGGTATACATATAATATTATAAATATACATATATATACAACAAAACAAGGCAAAATGGGAGTAAATAAACAAATTTGTGGCCACTGTAACAACTCCTTAAAGTCGAAGACAACGGGAATTGAATTTTATATCTGTAAGAATAGATTTCACTCGGCTTGTACAGGAGTGAGTAACACCACGGCACAAAGAGCTGGCCACTTGCTCTGGGTGTGTAAAAATGACCTGCCAGCTTGGAATATCCTAAAAAACCTTCTAGATAACATGACGCATGAACGGAAAACATCGTTCATTGAAAGCCTACCAGCCATCCAGAAGGAGTGGGAAAGGAACAACAACAATTCTAATATACCAGGGGGGGAGGCTATAGTCAGGGATGAAACTGAAACTTAAGCTTGTATGGTGAGTAAAGGCACAAAGACGTAGGACCTCACACAGTCAGCTGATAGCTGTTGCCCTCAAGGCCAGGCGCACTAATATTTCTCCTCCAACAATACTGTGTGGTGTTATTACGCTATATATCTTATATACAGATGTTATATATAAGTATTTACATGTTTTGTTCACCATAACTGTACATCTAAGCTTGTATGGTGAGAAAAGGCACAAAGACGTAGGACCTCACACAGTCAGCTGATGGCTGCCGCCCTCAAGGCCAGACGCACTAATATTTCTCCTCCAACAATACTGTGTGGTGTTATTACGCTATATACACACATTATATATAAATATCTACCTGTTTTATTCACCATACTTGTACAAATAAACTGGTATGGTGCCCAAAGACCATCGTGGTAACCAGTAAACAACACCGTCGTCTACACGGTGGCGTCGTGCAGACGACGCCACCGCCCTCACCAAAATGGCGGCTCCAAACCTTCTCTTGCTGTTTATACTCTCTATACACACGTTATATATAAGTATCTACATTTGTGTTCACCATAGCGAACCACTAAGCTGGTATGCTGAGTGCAGTCAATAAAAGGTGGCCACACACAGTCAGAAGACATCGCCACCACCCTCCCTCCCACAGCATTACTCCTCCCTGCATGGTGCACAGCGCTAAATATCACCACAATCCTGCTATTATCAGAACCCTGGTCAGTTTTATCACAGTCAGGGGTCTTCTGTAATAATATCATCGCTACATAATAGCATGAACAAGTATATTTTGGCATTTTTAGGCGATGCTGTGGTCACAAGCTGAACAGCAGTGCTGTTAGCTCATGTTTCGTGCATCAGGCTTGGTTGCTCACTCAATACTGAGGCCAATAACACCCGGGATTTTGGCCCACAATTTAAAAAAAAAATGGCGTCTGTTTACAAGAGCCCTGATGGTGTGGTGAACCCCGTGTATCCGCGGGCTGTTTAAATCTTGCGTAGTACTCCAACACATCATATGACGTGATGTGCAGTTGACTGGAACAACGTCCAACACGTCATATGACGTGATGCACACTTTAAGGGTTAAATCCCTAAACTTGCTAAATATTAACTCCCTCCACACATTCTCTTGTGTCAACTACATTTACAAAACACTGTTCTTAAATGCAAACCATGCTCTGAAACTCTCCCTGGACAGATGTAATAGGACCCATTATCACCACACCAGAAATAAATATCTCTTTGATATCCCCAGGGTCAAACTTAATCTGTGTAAACACTCTATGCAAATTAAGGGACCTAGTCTATGGAACTCACTCCCAAGTGAATTGAAAAGCCGTCAAACTTTTGCCTCATTTAAAAACAAAACAAAAAAGTACCTAATTTCATCTTCATAGTTTCTTACACTGAGCTTTAAATTTGCTCTGTATCTAGTGTTACCTAATCTCCCAATCTTTATGTACTTAACCCAAACAACATTATCATTGTGTTCATTGTTGTCTTCTTTTATGTGCTAGCCATATGCTGTATTGTGCCTACTAATTTTTGTCAACTACCATTCAAGCTGTCATTGCAATCAATCTGAGCTACTTATGTGCTTTAACCCTTAAAGTGCGCATCACTTCATATGAAGTGTAAATCGTTTTACAATACAATACAATACAATACAATTTTATTTAGGTAAGGTACATACATACAATAAATATTTACAAGGATTGTTTAACTTATAGGTATAGCTAGTACATGCAATGCCTAAAGCCACTATTACGCAAAGCGTTTCGGGCATAGGTTACCAGTCAACTGCGCTTCACTTCATATGAAGTGTATGGGTACCGCGCACGATTTGAATGGCCCGCGGTGTAGCTGGGGGTCCCATACGCTGCCCAGGGGCTCTAGTAAACAGCGGCCATTTTGAAAAAAATTCCAGCTCACGATCCGATGGCATGGGAGGCCTCAGTTTAGCGAGAGTCACCATGGCGAGCGCACGGTCAAACGCCTCACGGGCACGCACCACTCAGTCCCTCACCCCAGAGCAAATAGCCCACGAATTATTCTCTGAAGGTGAAGAAAGTGTGTTTGACGATTCAGACAACGATGAGGATTATACACAGTTGTCGGGTGATAGTAGCAGCAGCAGTGAAAGTGAGAATGACCGCC